GATTTCCTCTTACATTTGTGCAAAAATTGTTTCTTTAGGGAAATGATGATTATACTCCATTTGATACTTTCCATTTTACATACGAATTTTCAATCCCACGTGTCCATTTCGATTTACTATTACCATCTAAGTTTTCATGCATATTGAAACCTTCAACAAGGACGCTGTTCCCGATTTTACCTTTAAATTTTCGATTTTTTTTTTGTATATATATATTTTAAATATATTATTTTGGCATAAATAAAATGTATTTTGTTAGTATGCATTTATTCATATAAAACTTAATATCGCTTATCTTATTTCTTTGTATCATCAAATAAATAATTATATAAAATTTAACTAACGATACCTATACTGAAAAAAAAATTGTCAACCGTTGTAATATCAGTTCGAAATACATGTATTAGTATTAATTCATTTTACTGCTGAGATATTTTTCGAAATGGAGAAGTCTTGTACACTCTCTCTAAGTCATTGTAACGACTTGGACTGAGTTATACTCATGGCTTAAATCTGAACCTTAGAGATAAACAACACCATGTCCATTTTTGTATTTGTTCTAGAAAAAAGCAATGTTTCATAACTTTTTGCTATTAAAATTTGTTTCTTTTTTAATAAATCTGTACTCAGAAGGTAAATGACAGCATGTTACATTTTTGTATTTGTTCAAGGAGCCAATTTTCCATAGCTTTGAACTATTAAAATTTGTTTCTAATACCAAATTCTTTATTGAAGGAATGGACATGGTGTATGACTCCGGAGCATAGAAATATTCTAGTTTACAGTTATGAAGTTTTTATAACACGTGACTACAAATTGGCCTTGAAAACATTAGATTTCTAAAAAAAAAAAAAAAAGTCGCTAGATGATTAATTATTCAAATGGTTGTTATTAATAGCCAAGGAAATATCTTTAGCTACCACTCACAATAAAAAATAAAAAAAAAGATTTATAAGTATTCGTAAATAATTAGTGTTTCTAATAAAAAGCGGAGCGAAACAATAAATTGGATCTTAAACCTTTTTTTTTTAAGTTTTCATTAATAGGATGAATTTAATAACTAACAAAATATTTAATAACTTTAAAAAACAGGGATACCTATATAAAGAATCATAATATTGACTTGTGAAGGTCAAGGCAAAGGAAATTAATTTCCAGTAAATTGCACATTCAGAGTGAAATGGGTAAAACTAAAAAACTGTTGGTTTTTGGTAGAATGTCCATTAGACGCAAAAGATGAAATAAAAATAATTTTTGAGTTGTAATGATCTGATTTCAGTCAATTACAGAATAAATATCTTGTAACTAATTACAAATTTATAGTTTAAGTAATTTTAGATGGAAAGGATGACAAGGACAGTGCTATATATATATATATACTAACGGATCCAGGATTCAATTTTGAGTGGGTTTCAGCCTGAAAGAATTTTTTCGTATATATCAGGAAAAATACTTAAGAAAGAAAGACTAAGTACTTATATGAAATGGTGTTTAAGTGATTCTTTAAGTCCTATTAAATGTAATTAAACTAACAATAATACTTTCAGAGAAAAATTTTTCATGAAACATGGTAATATTATATCATTTTAGGAGGGGCTTCAGCCCGAAAGCCCCCCTCTTTCCCTCCCTCCCCCGTAGATCCACCTGTTTGTGTATATATATATATATATATATATATATATATATATATATATATATATATATATATACATACACAAACAGGTATGTCATCCTATCCATCTATATGGTATACATTACATATCACTTTGTGGTATTCAAGAAATATCTCTTAGGAACTCTAATTTCTATTTAAAGTAATCGTGCGCTCAGATTTTTTTTTTCATATTTTGCGAAATCATCAAGTATTTTATTGATAATGGTTACTCAAAAGTGGAAAATCGGTAATTTTTCTTTCTTCTTAAAAAGCTATATTTAATACGTCTATACACATGTTTATTACAGCGTTGCGTTTCGTAGGAGAATTCTCGGATTTAAACGAGACTTTAAGTTATTGTTCGGCAAAGGAGCGCAAAGAAATTTTTGAGGAATGCATATTGCCACTTTTCTATACCAAGTCATCAGAACTCGGCGGCCTTCCTATATTTTTCACAACCTACAATTCAAATATTCCATTCAATCCCGTCTCACTAGAACTCGTACCTCCGACCTCTATCCACCTCCCCACCGAACTGCAGCATTTGACAAATCCTTTATAATTACGAATTATCATTCAATAGATACAATAATTACGAGTCGCGACCGTGCCGTCGTTGACGATGTTTTTTTTTAACTCTGGTATTAATCAATCCTCCACACTCGCCCCCTGGTCCAGGAAAACCCCGTATAGCCTAAAAGGCAATGAAGGGAAGAAAGAAAAAAAAACAGTTTAAAGTTGAGTTTATTTGTCTAAAATCGGCAGGAAAGTCGTGTGAGTGGACATGCCAAATTTTTTATTTGTTATGTTTATAAAATATCAAATAAATTATAAATCTACCTAAATTATGAGATATTGAGTAAGACATAAGCTCTATGAAATATATACCCTTCTGAGTTCAGTATTACGGAAATGTGAAATAAAAATTATTAATTATTATTATTTATGATGGACTCGTATTAAATATTCACCTACTAATTAGTTTAGTTTATTTTTTACAAAATACAAGTAGATATTTCTCATGAATGTTTTGATTAAAACTTGTTGTTTAGTAAACCTTGGCAACTGCGAAGTAAGCGTCCAACATTACCGTCGTAATCGGGGGCTATGAGAGGGGCCTCCCTCGTTAAGAGAAAACTTATAGCCCTCATCCAAGTAGATGGGCTCTACCGGCTCACACTTCACCCTCGCGACATTTTTTTTTAATAACCACTCGTTCCGGGGAGCTTTTTAGAGTAACGAGTATCCTCACCGAAATCTTTTACGAGGTGAGTAGAAATAAATAATGAAAAATTCGGTTGGAACACAATATTATCTCTAAGGAAGAGAAGGATGGTTGGTTGATCAGTCAGGAATAAGAAGGCAAAAATAAATAACTGAAAAAATAAATACAAAAAAAAAAAAATATTATTATTTAATTTTGCCTTCATATTTCTGACTGATCACACCAACCATACTTCTCTTCATTATTCACGACAGTCAACCATTAAATACTTTAATTAATAAATTAATTAATTAATTACTTTGGTTAGAAGTAATCTTTTTTTTTTTGTTCAATTATTACAAGTACAGTTATTCTAAAGGGACTTTGTCCCAGAATAAAGTTGTTTGTCTATTTACCTATCTTCACTTTTTTTTTTTTTTTATGGCCAAACAAATAAAACTGAAAAGTAAAAAAAAAAACTTATATTGCGAAACAAAATCTGCATAAATTGTGTTATTCCGAATACAATATAGATACAGATATTGGGGAGGAGGGCGATCAATATCGTTAAAAAAAAAAATAAAAGGGGGCGATAATATCGTTTCTTTTTTCCGAACTTTCGATGAACAAAAATAGAGTCAAAATCAATATCAAAAAATCCACATAAATAAATAAGATATGTAAACTAAAGTCGATTAAAAAAGTAAAAAAAGTCGACTAGATGAGCTAAACTAAGGCTTAGAAGAAGGTACGCAAATATATAATCATGCTCGATGTTCCTTCAATTGATTTTTTTTTTATTTATATTAAGAGATAATTTTATATGTAGCAACTTATGTAGGATTTTATGATTAATTCATGTGCACGATTTCCATATGTGAATATTTTATTACACTTTCCGCGGCAAATTTAAAACCTTTAAATAAAAATGAAAAATTTGTAATTTATTTAATTATTTTGTGTTTATATATCTTCAATATTTCAATATTTCTGTACACAACAACAAAAAAAAATAGATATATACGATACAATATATAAACATAGGTATATATAAATTTATTTACTATTTATTATTTTATTATTATAGTTCGTTTTGCAATAATTATGTTGATTATATTAATTATCACTCATAATTCTCATACATAATATAAACTCACGATTTTTTTTTTGCGAGGGTCTATCGTCCCACAAACCAGAATAGAAAGTCTGCTCCTACGATTCCAAAGAAGACACTGATCCATTCGTAAATACATATCTTTAATAGAAATTGAGTGATTAATCGACTTCACTTCTTCACTGATTAATTCTATAACTTGCCTATTTTTTCAAATTCTCAATATCATTTTTTTATTCATTAATTAATCCATTAATTCATTATTACAATTAACAAAAAATACTATATATACAAAATACCAGCAGAGCAAATATGTATTTTTAGAAGTGGTAAGAATTTTTCGGGATCATTCTTATGGTTTGGAAAAAATTAATCACCGACATCCCAAACATTTGACAATTTATTAGTTTTCCATAATAAGCGGAAAAACTGTTTTTTTTTTTTTTTTTGTTGTTTTTTTTAAATATGCTTAACAGATTTTGTCCCTTAATAGATTGCATGTTTCTTAAATGAACGACCTTCTGCGATAACTTGCTAAAGTGTTATATACGATATATCTAGTTGAAACTTGTGTGGCGACAGTAAATATGTATATATATATATATATATATATGCAATTGGAAAAATAAATAAAATTATTCACTTTGAACTTCATCGAATTTCTAGTAGTTATGGGTAAGAAGAGATTTTTCTCCTCTTTAGTCCATTTTTTCCCCGATTCTTTTCTAACATTCCATTTCACTTTTCAAGTACTCATAATAACCTTTCCTAAACTTTTAGAATACTTGTATGTTAGTATGTTTTAACAGATCCCACACCGCTTTGAAATCAAGTGTGCTAGCGGCCATATCTAGCATAAATGTTAAATAAGTTTTTCAACGTTAACCAATACAACTAATATTAATAAATGTTTTATAAACATTTTTTTTAAATAATAACAAGTACTAAGTTGATGATTATCATTTTAAAGGTGTAATAATTATATTGTTAAATGATTTTTTTTTTAAATATTTTTTCCAATGTTACAGGCGAAATGGGAACGATTTGGAGTAGAACTGAAGAGCCTGCGGAAAATACTGCCCAGGTGAGAAATTAGATCCCATCTAGTGTGCTTATAGTTAGAAATCTGAGGGACCGGGGTGGTAAAGGCAATTCGCTTAGTTTAATTAATAAAATAATTATGAATTCAGATCCCTGTGCCGAGGGCTTTTAACTATGGTATTAATTCCACGCCCTATCTATATAGCCTAAAAGGCGAGGAAGGGGTGGTCCAAAAAAAAAATTAATTTTAAAGAATTACTTATTATTAATGGAACTTACATGATTATTTACGAAAGGGGTAATTTATATCAATATTTTAAGTTGTCTCAAGTTTATTATATGCATCACCCACAATGCTCTTTTTCACACTTAACAAAACCTATTTCTATTTTCATAGGAAAGTCCTGCGACGCACCAAGACGACGCCAGCGAAGCTCGAAAAAAGGAAATGGAAGAAGAAATGAGGAGATTTAAGGCAGATCTCGCAGCGAAAAGAGAAGCTCGAAAGGAAGCGATAGCATCACTAAATAGGAAAATCGCAGAATTGAAGGATGAGGTGGATAAAGAACGAAAAGAACGAGAGAGGTTGGAATCTATGCTGGGAGATGGCCAGGACAGTCGAGCTGAAATCGAGGGACTTGAAAAGCAGGTTCGAGCGCTCAAAGATGTAGCTTCCATTGGTGGAGAAATGCTCAAAATCCGGGAATTACAGGTAACATACATTTTTTTTCTCTTTAAACTTTCATCCTCACCTGTCATGAAAGGAAGATTTGTTTTGGTGGTAGTAATGACACTTTAAGTATGAGGAGGGATAGCACACACTAGCACCTCTTCTTGATCTATGTTTATTCCCTTAAATCAGAAATGGAGATCTTTTATCCAGCTCCTTTTCAGCCACCTTCTGATAGGGAAGTCAACCTTGGACATGTCGTTTATAAGTTGATGTGTCCGTGTATTTTAATATGAAATCGGGAGTAAAAAGTATGCATGTGTTTATCGGTATGTAAAGTTTTGTTGTATAAGTACCAGGAAGCTGCTGTTAAAATACTGTTTATTCTTACTATGTTTGACTGGAATGTGGAATGGTAGTCGATTTTGTAAGTGCTTCTTTTTTGCTTAACTCTTTTCATGCATCTTTTCATATATCATTTTAAAAAACAAAAATCATTAATTGCCGTTTATCCTTTGTAAATAATAATAGCTGAATCAACTCACGATTCCTGAAGATAGCTTTTTCTTAGAGGCAACATGTCCATAAAGTTACTTCAAGGCCATAATTCATTAGAATATTTTAATTTATGACGTAAAAAAATATATATTTAAATATGACTAATAATAATAAAGAAATACTCTTGTTTGTCGTTAGGGTATAATGTTCGATATAGCTTTGAACTTTCAAAATATTGGAGGGATTTTTTATTTATTTGCTTCATTTGTAATGCCATGCCAACTCGTGCGGACACGGACGCGGAACAAACTGGAGTATCTATACCGCCTGCCCAACAGAAATAGAAAATTACCAACAAGGACATCTTCGAATAGAATCCTCTCTCCTTATTTTCCGGCTGCAAGCTGAAGATAAATGGAGGGCGCTGTTACAGAAATAGAACCCTTGTTTTACGTAACTGTGTCGTATTGGCTCAGCTGTTTGTTCGCAGACTAAGAAATTCTTTTTTTCTGTTTTATCAGATTTTTTTTGCTAGTATTTTAAGGAATGCCTCAAAAATTAGAAACATAAGTGAAAATATATATATTGATGATTTTAACTTCAACAAAAATTCTTTTAAGAACATGATGAAACAGATTAGAACCGAATTTTTATTCTATTTTATTCAAAACAAGGTCACTAGGCACTTGTTAATCCTAAACGCCTGCCATTTCATCCTATAGCGAAGCCAATTCCCAAAATATCTTGATATATTTAGCGAATAACTAACAGATAAAATCTCACATCACTTTAGAGAAACGTCTTCTCCTACATCTTCCATATATATATTTTTTACGTTGACTATCAAATAGTTCGAAACGACTGTCCAAGCATTTTTTTTTCTTTTTTTGTATAAAAGTAGCAGACAAGCTGTCAGCTAAGAAAAAATATGAATAAAATTTTTCATTTCTTCTTACCGTAACCTTCAACTTAGAACCTCACCACATCCGGCATTGTGTATGAATAGCATGTTCTATTTTTGAAAGTGAGCTTTTTTTAGATTACGATCCTGCGTCGCTCATTTGATGTGGATCCGTTTTCCTTCGATATAGAATTACGTGAAATAACATATGCGACCAACAGCAGTAAAATACGAGGTATACGGTTCAGTCCTCTTGTATTTAAGTCATAAACCATGAGTCATTACTCAAATCTTACTACCACAAGGTAGGGATGTTGAGGGACAATAAATTTGTTAAAGATGGGTTAGTTCACAAATGCACCAAAAATTAAAGTTCAGTGACTAAGCCAAAAAGTTTTTAAATTAAGAGGTGATAATAATAGTCAAGAAAAAGTAAATTAAATTACTAAAATAGGTCTTTATTTTAAATATTTACCAGATTGCAACTTTTTAAAATACAAGAAGCCATTATGTAATAAAACAATATAGTGATAGTTTTAAAGAATATTTTCGTAATCAGTACTAAATTTTGTTAAATAAGTATTATTAAATTTTATTTATTTAATTCAATTTATTTGTTTCATTATTTTTAAAGGAAACTTTCATTCGTTATGACTACATGACATATTTTTTATAAATAAAAATTTTAATACAGTAATCAATTTATCATAATACATTTAGTACATAAAAAATAAATAAAGCGTTTCAATAATAATTTTTTATAATTCTTTTATCTGAAAATACCGGTACTAAAAGGAGAACGAATTTTAAACCACTTTGTTGATTAAAAAACTGCAGACGAATTTCACATAATTCTGTTATAAACTTCAATTTAATTAATATGCTTTTTCTCATTGAATGATGAAGTTTTTCTTAAAGTGGGGAATCTGTAATCTAAAATAAATCTGAAAAAAAATGTCAATAATAATCTATGATTTCTAGATTTATCTAGACCATAGATGGGGAATCTGTTTATCAATAGAGGTATCAGTATGGTTAGGCAATGTAAATGAAAGCCGCAATAACTGTTTATATTTTACCGATGCTATTTTTATTTATCACTAAATAAACAGAAGCACATATATACATTCAACTTAATTTTGTTAATTTCCAAATTTTCGTTACTCAAATAATTAAATATTAAGTAAGTCTAGCTCTAAATTAATAAATATCATACAGAAACGTTTGGAGGACGCAAATACATCCCATAGGCCACATGCGGCCTCCGATTCCGCAATTCTCCACCTGTGATCTAGACTATGGTGCTGAAATATTACTCGGTTTCTTTTAGCTATCGCTACCTATTTATATTACTAACTATTTTTTTTTCAATCAGCACTACTATTTAACAAAAAACGTCACAACCTTTAACTACAAAAAAATTAAATTTACTCCTTCACGGTTCAGAATACGACTATAATCCAAAAGAGCTTATATATTACGTTTGTGTTCTATGATAACTTTCGACAGTTTAAGACATTAATTACGTTACAATCTACAGGATCTGTGTATATGTACTTTTGCATATGTGTATGTGTAGTCTATAAACCCGACATCGGCTGGTGAGGTCATCGAACGACCTGGAAGTCAAATAGAGGAGTTAACCTGGAGTGAGCTTGGCCCAGTTCCACCTGCCTCGCATGCAGCTGTTTGAAGTCATCAGTCAGTTTTAACACTTGCAGATCCCATTCCACAATCTGTCACGTTTTTCAGTACGTCATAATTCACAATAATTGTAATTGGAGAACAAGAACCTGTACTAAAAAAAGGAAAAATACTATTCTGTTATGTGAAATATTTTAAAATTGTTAAGAAATAATATGTATAAGGGAGGACTCCAACAAAAAAAATCAATAACTGAAATGCACTTGTCCAATAGTTTTTATCATTCAGTTCAAAACGATTTTTAAATTCACTTATTGGGATATGTTTTGATCATTTCGGCGGGTTTTTTTAACTCTTCCAAAATCTCAAAACGTTTTCCTTTCGTGTCCCTTTTGAGTCAAGGGGACAGAAAGAAGTCACAGACGTCCAACTCTGGTGAATACTAGGTGTGAACAATCGTTTTCATGCCGTTTTTGGCCGAAAACTACTTGACTGAAAACACAGACAGTGTAGCGTTGGCAGGTTTGTTATCGTGGCGAAAGAACCAATCCTCTTGGCGACGGTCTTCAAGAAAAAGAGCTGTGATTTATTGAACGTTGTCGTCGATTCTTGAAGTTGGGAGACGTCCAGAATGAAGTTAGTCTGAAATCGACGTCTCTCCATTCTTGAAACGTGAAAACCACTCTTAAACAAGTTATTTTCTTAGAGCATCATCAAATACGAAGTATTTTAAACTTGCTAAGCAATTATATATACATTTTTTTTTGTGCCAACACTATTGGCTAACTTATTAAATATTCATAAATTATAAATTGTGCCAGGCAAATGGAGCATCAATACATATGGCAAACCATTCGACAAATTCTTTCCACCTTTCAAAACTGGCGAATCTTTTTCATCTGTGATAGAAAATTTTTAGGTCCGTATTTGCAGTACTTTTACCAATACAGAAACATACACAAATTTTCCATTCCACACATGGAGCAATGTTGTCAAGTTCATCCTAATGCTCTGATCATAGGCGACTGAACTTTATTGCGAACGTATATAGATGTTCGCTTTCGTTTCAAAAATAAGCTATTGAAACAATAAGTTCATTTTTAAGTGATGATAATATTTTTTGTAATAAATGCAGGCATTATATTTAATTTTTTATGATCCCATAACTAAGCAAAAAACTGGTCATTAACCTTGACTAAACATAGAAAAACTCTTACAAAAATATGATGTAATATTTCATGCAAACCAAGCAAAAATAAAAAAAAATATATATATATATATAAATCGTATAAAATATATTTATAAATATATATAAAAAATAATCGAAATAATTGAGATTTCTGTCTCAAAGCCGAAGAAATAATGAATAGAGAAATGATGACTAGTATTATGGTATAAGGAAGGAAGTAACATTGGAAAATGACTAGTATTTTAAAGGAGTGGAAAGCGTGACCAATATAGTTAGCGAAAATTGAGGAAGAAAATAAAAGCTCTATAAACGGACGGAAATAGTATTAGTAACCTAATCCAATTTGAACTAACAACTACCAGATCCAAAATCAACACTAATAATTCAACACGATATTCTTAAATAATAGAGAAATTATAAACAATCTAATGAAATTCGGCTGACGTTATCGCATAACCCTGATTTATGGTGTATTTAAAACTGTTATATCGCCTCCAAAACATGAAATGAGCTGAGTATGCTTCATTTCCTTTGAATCAATGTTTCATGCATAAATAATAAATTTAAATACATTACATATTTAAATTAGTTTATCTTAATATAGAATATTTAAATTGAATTTAAAAAAATGATACCCGTAAACTAAAATATGAATGCTGAATTCATCTTTTGAAAAATAAAATTTTTTTCACATTTACAGTAATTCAAACATGACATTATTTTTTATCGACTTTATAGTCTACCTTTTAATGCTATAGAATTCTGATTAAAAAATAAAATAACCTTGTTTTTAATATTAAATACCTATGC